CCACATCTGGGCGTCTGATTCTGATGAATGCGTTTCTTGAAGAAGAATAATATCTATTGCTTTCTGTTTAAACCAGGTAAATATTTTACGCCTTTTTGGCATTTTTCGTTGAGCGCAGCCTCGTAGCCCGTTTACGTTGAGTGACGCTATTTTAAGCTTAGGAGACACAAACATTTCCTAAATTTAGCATTCCACGGTCTGCATGCGCATCGTCGCTCCATCTGTGAAATTTATAGATGGAGTGCAATGTAATACTGTTTCGATAATATTTTGAGTTTTGACCCGTAATGCTCCCGCAGAACCCTCCCATCCCCCCTCCCACTGGACGCAGCGTGCGCACGCTGTGCCAACGAGCCGGCACCGATCGCCCGCAGCCGCACCGCCGGCCGGCCGCCAGATGGCGTTTTTATTTCGCGCGAAAAAACAAAAAATCAGCATACGCATTATTTAAACGTAGGCAAGCTAACGTTACATCTCACTTTACGAAAAAGAAACGCAAAATGTAAAGCACATCGCCATAATTTTATGTAACGTTTCCGTAACTTTCATACAATGTAAAGCACTGCGACCCTTGTCAGAACGATCATCGCGATGTAGCCTGCATTCCAAGGAAATTCAAGAGATAACAGTACCCCCAGCAATACACACACCGACACACCCCTCCCCTGCAACCCGCGGTACTGTTACCTGTACAGGTAATTGCCGACGAAACCGTGGTCACCTGCATTAGTCCAGGTACAGACGTCGCGCCAGGCTGTACCGGAGACGAGCCGTCGCGACAGATCACCGTCGCCCGTCCGCGGCCGCGCCGCCCGAGCCGGGCTCGGCAGCCGACCGACCGGAGCCGCCGTCAGCTCGGCCAGACCGCCACGCCGCCGGCGCCAGCCGCGCGTCCAGGGGGCCCCCGCGCGCTCCGCCGCCGCCGTCGTCGTTTGCGTCGCGGACGGCACGAACATCAGCAGCAGCAGCGGCACCGGAGCGATCGACATCGGCCCCGCCAGCCGCCGCCGGACGCCGGCCGTCGGGACGGGCGGCCCCGCCGAGGAGTGACGTCACCTGGTCCATGCTGACCATCTTCTGACCTCGAGACTCGCTGTCCAACTTGCAGAAGACCGCACCTCTCCTTGAGTACACGGTGTAGATTTTTTACGCTTTTTTGCTTCGAGCAGAGCGTTGAAGATCTCCTTGTTCATAGCTGATAACGACTCATTGATATAGAGAGGTGCCGCCGGTCGATCTCCATGGTTTTGTACTCTGGCTTGCTTCATCCTTCTCTCGTAAATGTCGTCCTTAACCTTGGTCTTGAAAAACTTTACAATGACTGTGCTGTCACCCTGGAGTCTGTGAGCGGTCTGGATGTCGCTGCCGGTGACATGTACCTCAGGGAGGCGTCGATTGAGGACAGATATCACCTTTCCTTCGATATCTTCATCGCGCTCCCTTTTTCCAAATTCCTCGCTCTTGAGTATCAGGCTGTTCATTCGTCTGTTGGTATCTATGCCTTCTATCTGCTCCTGTAGAGCCTTAATGGTAGCTTCTTGAGAGCTAACTCTGTCCTTCAGTACGTTTGTTTCGGCATCTTTCAAGAACAGTTCACCTTCCATGATTTCAATACGTCTCTCCATACTTCTAAACTTTTCCTCCATGAGCTTCGTCACCTTTTCGATGCCTTTATCTATAATTGATTTCACGGCATCTAAGGACTCGCCGTCCAGACGGCATGAGTGCTCACCTTTTTCTGCGCTGTCTTTTTCTCTGCTGGAACGCTTGCTCTTTTTTTGACGTCTTTGTCCGTGTCCGTCATCCAGAGCCTGCATCATCTCTGGGAAAGAACACTGACGTTTTCGGCCACCTCTCCCTATCAGAACGGAGCGATCAGTGTCCTCGGCGTCACCGAACACGGAGTCCAGCTCCGATCCACCAGTGTCCGTGGTCATTTCACGCATCGACACCGAGACGAGCCGAAAATATCACTGTGTCCACTGCGAACGGGTACTGGCGTACACAAACACAAGTGTTCCACAAGGCTATTCCAGCGGCCGGCCGGTAACTGGCGCGGCTAGGCGACCCTACCGGCCCGGTACCTGTCCCTCAGGGCACGGCCGGCGACCCTCGCGCTCGGAGCGTCCGACCTCCACCGCCGCCGGGACGGGAATCTGCTTGAACGCTTGAAACCACGAAAAGACTGCAAACGCGCGGTTAATGTGAGCCAACATACGCCGAATCTCGATTCCGGCCAAACATGGTCTCGGAAAGTAGGCGACAGGTCAAAGGTCATTTAGGTCAGGGTCATGAAATTTTCAGGGTAGGTGCATAATTGATTACCGCGAGGGTACTGAAAGTTTCGTTGCAATCGGCCGCTTTTTACGCGAGTTATTTGCAAAAAACCTTAGGAGGGGTTGTATCAACCCCCGTGTGCCGGCGAGGGTTAGTATCTACGGTACGTAGGCAGTAAGCCATTGCAGAAAAGGAATGGTTTGCAAGGACACGTCTGTTTAAAAAAAAACGAGACAAGCGCAAGGCTGGAAACTACGCCAACATCAACAATCGTCATATTACCATTCATCGTCAGACGTCAATCATTTTCAAACACGTCCTCAAAGCCGTGCGTTCTCTTCCACTGATCATCAGCCGTCTAACATGTGTGAGTGAGAGGAGAAGGTGTGTTCATTCGATACCTCGACACGGTGCTAATGGACGGTGTCAGAAGGGATAGCGACGGGCTTAGGTAGGGCGGGGAGGGGTGACGATGGGGGCTGCTAATGGTCTCAGGACTTGTCTCAGACAGAGGGCACGGGAGTCCGGGACGACATAATCGTAATACTTCCCACGCCCGATGGTTGTTTTATTCAGACATCAGAGCCGGTGTCAAACCAAACGAACTTCAATTACGCTATCATTATCCTTAGCCTTTCTTATTTCAATATATTCAGACCAGTGTTAGCTGTTGACTGTTGACGGCTGTATCGCCTCATGCAGCGATATGCTGAGGTATGTAAATGGCGGTTTCAGTGGCAGCCACAGTGACTGTGACCGTGACGATACTGGTGCCGTTGCCTGTGACTGTTTCTCTGCTGTGACGGTGACGGTGAGGATGTCTGTGTCTGTGCCGGTTAACAGTGATAGTGACGGTGACAGGTGCTTGTGACAAAGACCGTGCGGACCTATACTGTTGTAACCGTACCTGTGACAGTGATGGTGACTGTGATGGTGACTGTTGACAATAACGGTGCTCATACCAGTGACAGTGCCCGTGACGTCTGTCGGTGACGCCGACAGACGTCACTGTCGGCCGTTTCCCCCAATCAATTGGCACGTCTTTCCGGCGGCGGCTCATTTGCATAACCTGTCTTCGATACGGGTGTGCGGCGGCGGTGGCCGGCAGCGAGCTGCACGCCGCGGCGCCCGCGCCCGGCTCCCAGTTAACACCTCGTCCGCGGCCGGCCGGGACGGGCCGTAAACGTCCGCTAAGGCCGTCTGCCCGCTGCCCCGGACCGCCCCCGGCCCCTCGGCGGCACTGGCAGTCGGCCGAGCCGCCGACCGGCCGGGTCGGGTCACACCTCGCCGCGGCCAGGTCACAGACTAGCGCTAGGACAAATCTACTCCCAGATCAGGTCGAAATGGTTTCCTTCCTGGCTGGGTGTCCGTGTTGCTTGATGATGCTGTCAGCATTGCAAACAATGCTGGCGTGGTCCCTGTGCGTCGGCTTGGCATTAGAGTTGCAAAGTTTTCCCAATGGGCTGCTACCGGCACCGCCCCGCCCCACAAAAATTTTATGGGATACCGGCATGCTACCACGCCCCAAGCAAAAAAACCGCCAAATTACCGGCATACTAAAAAACCTGCATTCTTGATTCTGGCTTACCCCTACATGAGATGCCACATTTTGGCAATTTCAGTAACCGCCCCACCCAACAGCCAACCATTGTCCAACTTATTACAATTCAATAGCCTCTTAGTGTCCAAAGTTTGAATCATATGCCGATAATTGTTTGTGCAAAATCAAAAATACCGGCATGCTACCGGCAAGACATGCCAGATACCACGAAAAAACCTGCGGTAGTGAAAAATTACCGGCATGCCGGTAGTGCGGTAGGGAAATTTTGCAACTCTACTTGGCATGCTCGCGAAATGCCATGTGCATGCTCACTGTTCAGATCCTTACCGGTCGTTTTCGATCTTCTCGATCTTCTCAGTGCCCAGTGCTCAGCGCTTCGGCTCACCTCCGTCTGCTCAATATTCTGATCAAGTTGTAGGGGCTATCCATTGTTCAATGTGCCGATATACCGGTTCAGTCGTCCCTGTACTCCGGTCAATCCCGGCCAGCTCAATGCTCCGGAGCTGGCCGGGCCTGTGCTCCCGTGCAGCCGGGTCTGTGTTCCTCCGCCAGGCCCGGTCTGTGCTCCCGTCCAGCTGGGTCTGTGTTCCTCCGCCAGGCCCGGTCTGTGCTCCCGTCTAGCTGGGTCTGTCTTCCGTCCAGCCGAGTCTGTGTCCAAGTCTTTAGGTTCGCCCGTGTTCTCTGTGCCCGGGTCCTGGTCGGACCGGATTCCCTGTGTATTGGTCAGGAGCGGCGCCCGTTCCCTGTGTACCGGTCGGATCAGGAGCGGCGCCCATCCCGTGTACTGCGGGTCAGGAGCGGCGACCGTTCCGTGCAGGCCGGTCGTGAGCGGCACCTGGCTGCCGGCTGGCCAGTCTTCACGTGATTAATTAGCCGCGCTGGCCGCCGCCGCCGGCCGCTGCGCTCCGATAAAGCCATCCGACTGGCCGTGTATAATTACTTAATCAGATAGGCGGCGGCGGCTGCCGGCCGCTGCTCGCGCGCTGCCGACCGGAGCGGTCCGTCTCAGGGCCGGGCGGTGGCTTTTTGCCGTGAACCAACAGGTTGTGCCCCCCGTGTGACGAGCTGCGGCCGGCCGGCGGCAGGGGGCGGCCGGCCGGTCGGTCGGCCCGGCAGCGGCAGCGGCGGCGGCGGCGGCGGCGGCGGCGCGCTCAGTCGACCAGCAGGTGAGGTGGTGGCCGCACGCGCCCGGCCCTCTGCCGCCGCCGGCACGTGAGAGCGAGCGAGAGACGGACGCGAGTCAGTGAGGCCAGCCGGCCACGGACAGAGGCTGCGCCGGAGTGTCGACCAGCTCCGATGAGCCAGCCCACGGCGAGATAGGTGAGTGCCCCGCCGCCCGCTGGGCCGGCCCGGACAGACCGGCGACGCGGGACACATCCTTTCCGGACGTACTCTCCAGCTGGCGGGGCCGGGTCTCATCGGATTTCCCGTGGCGTAGTTCTGGCTGGCGCGGCCCCAGTGCCGGCGCCGCTGCACTGTTTCTGCCGGCCGCCGCTGTTTGGTAAATCTGACGGCGGCGGAGGATGGATGGTGGCTGGTGCGTCGCAGCCGGCCGCCGCCGCCGTTCTCTGCACCGGCCGCCCAGCTGAGCCGACTGCAGACGGAGCGCTGAGGTCATGACGCTGTCATCGGCGGCTCCATATCCTGCCCCCGTGACGTCACCGACCGCACGTGACACACGACCCGCGCGTACCCGTCCGTCCGTCTGTCCATCCGTCCGCCCGTCCGTCCATCCGTCGGCTACTGATAGCGCCGGTCGGGAGCGAGCAGCAAACCTCCACTCTGTCTGGATGCCCGCTGGCCTCCAGCCGTCCCGGGCCGCCGGCCGCCGTGCCGAGACGTGAAGATGACGCTGTCACTTGTTGCAAACTTGTTTGATGGATAGCATTAAATTAACTGGGTTTAATGGGCGGCTCGGCTCGAACCGTTCATCATGCCATAAGTGCGGCGTTGTTAGCGAGAATGGTCGGCCGGCAGCCGACCCGGTGACCCGCGGACATGTCTCTCTGGACTCTGGCGAACTCTGGGCGACTCCCGTGGACTCTGACGATCCCGGCGGACTCTGTCTGGGTCTGGAGGAGTGGGGCGGGGCCGCCGACGGGGTGCGGCGGCCGGCCGCGGACGGTGTGCCTCAGGACCGAGCTCGAACTGCCGCGGCCGGCGCCCGTTTCCCACGGGTTTGGCGTGGATTGATTTGCATAATGTGGCACAGTGATGGACTACCGACACTCATTGGTATTCGAGGGAGGCGAGGGTGCCAACGTTTACCCTCACCTGTCGTCACTGACCGCACCGGCGAAGGCGCAATACCAACATGGTAAGGCAGGAGAGGCGATTGGCAGCGGTACGGCACGGAGACGAGTGACCCAGGACCAGAGAGACGACCAGCCCTGCATCCTAGAGTCCAAACAACCTACCCTGAAACCCGCCTGGGAAAACTACTGACCCACAGGACTGGGGAGACGACCGACCCTGCACCCTTTAGTGAGGGAGACGACTGAACTATCACCCCAGTAAAGGAGACGATTGGTCGAGCACAACAGCAGGGGGGACGACCGACCCAGCAGCCCAGTATGGCAGGCAGCCGACCGACCAGTAGCGAGGGAGACTGCCAGTCCAGTCAGGGCACAGGGTGGAACCCCTGTGCCAGGGTGCCAGGGCACAGGCAGAGGTGCAAAAACCTCTTCAGCTGTCACATACTTTGCCAGTGGCACACGGAATCTGTCACGCAGCTTCCATCCACCAGGTGATGTCAGCTGACGGAGTTTACGTTGAGATGACTGGATGTTACTTTTCCCTCCTCTCTGAAATTTTAATCATTTCTTGAATTTTAACATATTTTAGGACAGGTACCAATGATTAGGCACTTCTTATTGAGCACCTTGAGACCTGACATTTATTTCTACTGTTCTTTTCTCAACAATATTCAAATATTGAAACCCTTAAAACACCTGCCTTCGGACTCTGATTATGCAAATGCAGTAAGTAGGTGTGCATTAACTATAGTTAGTACTTTTATAAGACTAACTATTATGATAATTCACTTGAGATAAATGTTGGTTTAGAGGCAGAAATGACACACAGCCTGGTACACAACGGCACCCTACACAATAGAAAGTCTGAAAATGGCTAAGTGCCTATATGCTGCAAACCAAAAACATTGTCAAGTTTCTAACTAGAAGCCAGGCATGGTCAAAGCTATGGCCTAGTTGAAAGAAGGTAAGTACATTTTGGATAGGTACTGAAAATCATTAGAAAAACTTGGATTTTGTAAAACGTGTAGGCTGCGGCACAAACAAAAGCAGGTTATTATGCAAACATAACCTGAAGGAACATTTTATTAATTTTCCTCCCAAGGTTTTGCACACAAAAATGGTGATGCCAGCCTTAATTAATCTAAAATATTTCATTGATATGATTCAAATAAAAATGTGAATGCATCCTAATTGAATACTCATCTATTTCAATTTTGACAGCAGGGTAGACAGCCAAAATTGGATTCCCATATCAATATACACTTATGCCAAATTTTCTGACTGAGTTTTTGTATGCTGACAGTTTTAGCTGAATCTCACCTCAAGGTTCTGTTATTGGCTATTGCTCGTCTTCATCTTACATCCACATGCTTCAAGACTGATTGAACTATAAATAATACTATCCACAGCATACATCTTGTGCTGGGGACAAACAAACAGCCCGCACATCTTGCCCGCGCAGCCGTAGTAATGCTGTTGGATCCCATACTGCCTCACCTCACCTCCCTAGCCCGGCTAAGACACTCAAAACACACTGTCACAAACTGTCACAGCCGGCGTGACAATCCGCCAGCCCCTCGCCAACTCCACGGCCAGGCAATGGGGATTTACAATGGAGACAGCCGCCGCGTGACAGAATCCGCCGGCTTTTTGCAGCCCCCCGTAAATGCGTACAGTTATGACGCAGCCGTTACGATTATAATCCACAGCTAATTTACTGCAAAAAGTAAACTTACTGCAAAATGACAAATGAGTAAAAGTTGAGCCCCGTAGTAGCTAGCTATCTTACTATTCGCATTTATATGGAATATAGAAAGTGACACTCTAATTGGTGCCTACTTGACCGTAATCTGTCACGTTTCATGGGCTAAAAGTGCTATCTCTGGCACATACTCTGGTTGGCGAGTTGGCAGGTTTTTGCACCTCTGGGCACAGGGTGGAACCGTTCTTGAAGCAATCAGTCCTGGCTCGGTGGCGAAGTCCAAAGGACTCAATCCCGTGAGACACGGAGACAGTACAGATCGAATAGGTGACTCGGTTGCGTAAGCGAGGCTCCAGAAAAACTTCTTTTCAGGTAGTCAGTTTGGAAATGAATTATTCGATCTAAAAGCTTTATTACTTTGGCATAACATTATTATTTCTTGACTTATAACTTATAAGAGATTATGGCCATTGGCCACCTTTGGCGAAGCGGTACAATTTGAGGTACTTCAAAACAAATCTACAAATACTTCTGTAATTAATTCGTAACAAGAAGCGTGAGGCATCGAACAACACCTGTTCAGTCAATACGATCAGTCTGCCAGTCTTTTGGTCCATACAAAGGTCTGTTGGAGCCAAACACGACCCCTGCTCACACTTGAGTCACACCTGTTCAGCTCGGATAATCCAATGACCGATTTTCCACCCCTGGTTTACCCAAATCACCGCCGCGTCTCTGATGGCCCGATCGGTCTCCGCTCCCCTCGGCCCATTATCGCTCTACGGACGGGATGGGGGAGAGGGGGACAGCAGAGAGGGGGGGAGGGGCGGCGGTTCGGACGGCTCGGATGTCTTCATGCGCGCCACTAATGGTGCCCACATGCTCGGCGATACCTGCCAGCCGATAATGCCCTTCTTTGTTTTGAGACGCATTCGGTTACATTGTAGATACGTTCATAAATTAGAGTTTATTGCCGACTGGTTGAGCGCCGCGGCCGTGGCCGCTCACCATAAAACTGGCCGATACGTCTGCCTGCCGGCCCCAGCGCGCTGCGCTTGTCTCGTCTCTCATAATTCTCCGAAACATGGCCGGCGTGGTAATTAAGACATCATCTCATTTGGGCTCTCACACGGCCGCTGAGCGGTCAGCCTGACCTTTACCCGGCCTCCTGGTGCCGCCACACGCTTCACGCTTTGAGTGATGAGGCGGTGTTTGAGTGATTCATGGACTGATGAATGTTACCGGTCGGAGTGCTAAAGACTGATGCATGTCTTTGGCATAGGTGTGGGACACAAATACTATGGTGTACCTCAAATGATACCTAGGATGTTTATTATGTATGTGCAGAAAGACGCTGGAAAAGAACTTTGCACAATGCGTATGTACATACTCTTTAAGTATGTATGGTCAAAACTATAACGGAAACTCCCACGCATGACATACAAGTCCTGTACTAGTAGCATTGATAAACAGAAGGATGGTGGACGGTGGACTGGACAGTCACTATGGTTCACTCAAAACTTTTTTACTACCTCCTGCAGGGCTCATTTTCATCAAACCCGCAAGATAAGAGTATATTGAAAGGGTAACTCGCTGCTACCATTATGTGCATAGTAACGGTACGTGGTTAATATGAACTTATTCGCCAGCGAAGAGTATTATTACCATGTGTAAATATCAATATTACTCTCGCGATCCAGAACATCACGAAAACTCTTTCCTTCTGGGTATCGTGACTCGTGTACAGATAGTCGTTTCTTGCGTGGATCTTGTTTACCCTCGTGAAGATGATATTTGAAATTGAATCAATCAGCCAATCAGAAACGAGATCGGCCGTTTGCGGTTTGAAGGCCGCGCGCATCTGTCAGTTTTCGGCCGTTGGTCTCCGAGAGAGGATGTGAGCAGTGTCGGTGCCGCGCGGCGTGGCCGTTGGTGATTGTGCTTGTGTGCTGTTCATCGCCTATAGAGCCTCTGTGGACATTTTATTGTAAGTACCGATGTGCTAGAGCATTGCATGCCGTTGAGAGTGGTGCTAATTTGACCTGGTCAACAGAACCCCGTGCACGGCCACGTGGCCTAGTGCTGTGAGTACGTACATTAATTTTGTTGTGATGCTACAAGTTTATGCATTGTGTTGGTGACTTTGAAAAAGCCTTTCACTGTAGTGATCCAGTCTCATTATCTCACGCAGACGGGCGACCACCCAGGAACGCCGTCGCTCACTTCAAATGTTGTGCGCTGTGCCTTATCCAATATGAGGGCGCTGAATGTCTTCCTATTCATATTCAAATTGCATTCAAGTTGTATCGTGGTGTTTATTTACCGCTTGTGCATTGCTGAACGATTTGTATAAATTCGTATGA